ATACGCGGAGAGGCATCCAGTGAATTATTGTCTATCGCTACTATCATTCATTCATATAATTCACGCAGTCGCGCTCAACGAAAAATACAGACGCTCATGAAACCGAGTAAATGAAACGGTTTCTCATTTTTCTTTTATTGTCGGAAATATACGTGAGACAAAGGCTGATATCGATGAATCCTGGCAATTTCGAGAGTACTGACTTCATTCTTGACGGTTTTAGAGGAGTTCAACATCCGTATGAGCAAGTTCAAGATATTTATAAAGTTATTTTGAGATATTTACGCGGAAACGAAATAATTCGATTGTGTTTGATGCTCCGTGTGTCTATTTTTGAAGTTAGTACTGTGATCATCATATTGCCATCTCCGTTCATCCCGACCCTTCTTCGCTTATCAAGCTAGCATTATCTTTTTTTCTTGAACAGGAATTAAGAATAAAGTCATCTTTTGAAGTCACCATATTGAAAAAACTATTTCAAAATGGACTTTATTCTAAAGACACCATCAGTCGACTATACAAAAAGTAAGTTCTAACATAGAAAAGGAATAGTAATATGCGTATAGAACCACAAAATATTTTCTCCCTCCTATGTCATATGCGGTATGAGTCATCCTCAAAAAACATTCAACACAAAAGTCTTTTGAGAATATGTGGTATGCATGCAACGGCAGCGGTTACCGGCAGAACGGTAACCGGTAAATTACCGTTATCCTTGCATGCCTAATACATGGTTCTCATTTTCTTTTTACTATGAGTGTCCATGAGTAGAGTCTCTTTTATCTTTCTTTAATTTATGAAACTATTGGCAAATCACTCAGTCATGCTGTGGGGCTAACTTACAGGAAATTTGACTAAAACAAGCACACACGGTAGAGGCTCATTAACTGAATTTGCATAGAGAAATAATCCAGTAGTATAGTCTAAGTAGTTTCATTCTTTTGTCTTTATTGTTTTTATTTTTCTTATCGTTCGTGTTTTGTGTTAGTTCTAGCAAAGCCTAAAATGGGTTCTACTCGAATGACAATGGTATTGTCTCTTTATTAATAATAAAACGGTAAAAGGAGACCATAATATTTTCTAGACCACACAAAAGACCAATTTTACAACCTGTAATACACAAAACATACATTCGGAAAGGTCACGATTGAAAATGATGTTTGAAAATCCCGAGGTTATTCAGCATTAGACTTGTCAGCTTTTTTTTGGTGAGTTACAGCATCATGGTTTGAAGATCTATGTGCCCTTAATCTACGTCTGCGTGCAGATACTACACAGGAAAAGCAACTCAAAAACATCTGACTGATGTGCATAGGCATTCTGCATATTCACAGCATCAGAAACACCGCGCTTGTTTTGAATGACCTCTTGTTTGAAAAGTTTACAGCTACTGAAATGTGTGTTTACAGGTACTGATAAACAACCTTCGGGAAATCACAAAAATCCTTGTATATAAACTTTACACTTCAAACTTCCTTTTCCTTCGGAAAACGGAAAAGTCCTAGGAAGGTTTCACAAAACAGGGCGGTCTTCTATTTCAACCATTACGTGAAGAGACCGAGCAGGATCTTCTATTTAGGGAGCGTCTTTTAATGTCACAACCCCTTTATCTCTTCCTTCTATGAACGTTCATATATTTTCATATCTTCATTTAAACATAGAACAATAACAGCTGTGCACTGAAAATCGAATCCAAGCTGTCCCAGCACCCATCTACCCAGAAACCACAACAGAACTCTCAAACCAGTACAACTGCAATGAACGACACTGATCAACGACGAAACTTTGAAAACAATACTGTCGTCTGGCTGGATGCGAATGTCAACACTACAGAAGACAGTGTTCGATCAAGAGCTCAACTGCGTTGCACGATTAATTATCTCAAAGTATTTGACGATGCTGATGAACGTATTGACTACATATCCGTATCAGACCGTCCTCAAACATTGCGCATCTCAGCTATACCAGAAATGAGGATGAAATCCTTTTCTTGATGGGAACTGTATTTCGAATTCAGTCAGTGGAACTGCAAGATCACTCAAACATCTGGAATGTGAAACTAGTCATGACTGGATATGAAGAGTTGAAGAACCTCACTGAACAGTGAAAAAATGAGTTTATGGCGAAAGCAAGTTCAACAGTTTGGGTATGCTGTTGCGACACATGGGTGAATATGGAAAAGCGGAACAATACTATACTATGTTGCTGAATGAGACTGCTCCAGACAATACCAGAATCTCAGCACTTTACAACAATCTTGGATTGGTCTACAATGACATGGGTGACCACTCAAAGGCCTTGACTTATTATGAAAAGACATTGGAACTGAAACTGAAAACACTGGGCCTGAACCATCTATCTGTGGGTGTGACATACAACAATCTTGGAAGTGTTTACTATCAGACGGGTGACTACTCAAAGGCCTTGACTTATTATGAAAAACACTGGAACTGCAATTGAAAACATTTGGCGCGAACCATCCGTCTATGGCTATGATATACGGCAATCTAGGACTGGTTTACAATGGCATGGGTGACTACTCAAGGGCCTTGACATTCGGTGAAAAGGCTCTCGGAATTATGCGGAAAGTTCTGCCAACCACACATCCTCATATCACTAATGCGAAAAAAGGTATAGCTGTGATAAATGAAAAACTGTAGAGGCGTGTATAACTTCGAAAAAGTATTTGATTATGCTTAGTTGATGTCATTTAGACGTAGAATAGTTAAGTTGAATATGGGATGTCTTCATATATTTGGCTGCTGGAAGCGTTTAAAGCGTTTAAAAAGTAAAATTAGATATTATTGAACTTATAGTTTCACGCATGGATAGCACATGACATTGTGTTGTACTGTGTAGTAGAGTAGAACATTCTGAAAACGATATACGGTTTCTACTGAATATTTTTGACTATGCTTCACTTGCTGTTGACTATGCGCTTAACGGTTTTTTTAATTTGAATGAAATTTAAACTATACATCTGTAAAAGCGATGTCAGTAAAATCGGGGCCTGGAAAGGACCGAAAACGGTTTCTGCTGGAAAATGGCCGATTTTGAGCAAATGTGTAGAAGAAATATTCTTTTAAAGCCTTAAGAGACGTTTTACCAGCCCAGGGAGAAAAGCTGTCAAGTGAAAGTTTTTGATCTATATATAGCCTTTTTCTATTTTTGGATTCTATGATCAAAACTAGGGTTATGAAAAACTTTTCAGGTCGTTTGGACTTGATTTCACCGAGTTATAGAATTTACAAAATTAGGTGTATCGAAAGATTTTCAAAAAAGTGATCTCCGTGATATTTTGCCTATAACTTCGTCAAATTTTATCCGGTCTATTCGCACGACGTCTCATTCGAAAGTCCATCAAAAAATGAACCAAATCATATGTTTTTAAATTTTTTCGAACGGAAACTGGATTTTTCAGAAGCCTACCATTTGAAAAATTAGCAATTTTAAAAACAAAATTTTTCCAATAAACTTTATTTTTCTCTGTCCAGTAGATTTCCCGCAAAAATTAGTGCGTTTTGTAGAGCGTGCAATTCTCTATAAAATGAGCTATAATTCACGACATCAGGAACATGTTGACAAAATTGCTTGCAATTATTAAATAAATAAATGTCTCACGAGTACTTTTCAAAAAGAAACATTTTCGAAAAACATCTTGAATCACTCTTCTTTTGATTTTTCGAAATGAATGTATAAGAGAAGACCATATTCTGATGATAGTTGTCACTATAAAGATTATTTTTAGTACATTCAATCACTTCAATCTAATTACAATCTCTTCTAGATAGTTTTATACATCAATGAAATAGATTGCTAATGTCGATGAACGTGAGTACAACAAAAATTAGATTAGAGAAACTTTAATGAAAATAACCGACGGAAAAAATCAAAAATTTACCCTGTCCAGATATTTCACGTCACCATGGTGAAATTCCTCTAATTGGCTTCTACCCATGCATTTCAATTTCGAATCGAGTCTTAACTATTCGTATCCAGTGTATGTGTGCCACCTTTTCATGGTGATCATTCTATGTTGATTTGTGTAAACTAGCATTGATAAACCGTCTCGATTTAATCGAGACGGGATTCAATTCGTCGCCGCATTAGATGATCCGTTAAATCTGTTTAAGCAGTCAATTGTAAAGGAACGACAAATGATTTTAAGTCGATCTATATATAGTTAAATATATCCTGAATTACAAATACTCATTAGAAAACAGATGACCCCTCTCGTACACTATTAAAAAAGAGTTAATACCACAAATGTGTTGAAATCATCCAATTTCTAGTTGAGATCGAAGGTCACGTACAATCTTCGAGTATTTGGTATAGGTGATATTTGCAATGAAAAAATGATTCACTAAAATCAATCTGTTTTCCAAGGTTAGCTCTCTCTCTGTCCTTCAGTAATTATGCTTGTTTTCTATCAACAATTTGTGAATTGATGATTTGGTTCTGTTATCCAGCCCACTCTTCTTGTCATTTTCTTTTTCTCGAGTCGTCTTGTAACAGATGTAGTAGAAAATATAAATATTCTTAGACAAACAATAATTTTTTTCTCTCTCTACATCGTGTTATCTCATTTTCCATTTATGCATATTTTTAGATGATATTTCCTTTAACGAGAATGGACTAGAACGTATAAATAAAAATATACATACCATCGGCAATATTTCTCGTTGTTTTCCAAGATGTAATACAATATTCCAACGTTTATAGAAAATATATGGCTTTAGATAATATTTATTCTAGAATAGCTCTCTCTATTCGGCTCTTTTTTCCTTCTACTATTTTTGTCGATATCTCAACTGTATTTTCCAGTAATTTTTTTTTATTACGTGTTTATCTTTCTATTTTCTTTTTGTATATCTTAATGTGTGATTTATTCTCTGTGTTATACGTATAATAAATAAATCCATACAAAAAAAGTTGTTCTTGTGCCGTTGTATTATAATTTTCACACAGACGAACAAAAAGTGACCACATAATCTACCATAATGGTAAGTATAAGAAAATTACATAAATTTATCATTTTCAACATAAAAACGTTTTTTATGATCTATATGGGATCTGAACTCGATATAAATCACATTTGTTTTTAACTCTATTTCGAAAATATATCGACATAAAAATCTTGAAAATTACAATTTCATTTGACACATAAGATTAATTAATTACTCTTCATATATTCAACAGTTCAATTATTATTCATATTTTGGATAGCTGCATTCCTGATGATATAGATAATGCTGATAGTACCTCTGACAATATAAAAATTTTAGTCTCTTTGGAGTTTGTATAATATTATTTAGTTGAAATAAGATTATATACGCTATAATCTTTAAAACTTTTTTGTTTATTTTCAAAGGGCGAAGAAGAACAAGAATTTTCTCTTTCCGAAGAGCAAATATCTGAAATTCGTGATGCATTTAATATGTATGATCGTGAGAAAAAAGGAGAAATATCAACATCAATATTAGGAACAGTGATGAAAAATCTTGGTCATAATTTAAAACCCGATCAATTAGCTGAATGTATTGAAGCTGTCGATGGAGATGGTATGTATTATGGGAAGAAAGTGAGGCGATGATAAATACTGTAACTTTAACTTTTTCTTTTTCCTATTTTTTGTGTTTTTTTTTTTTTGAGGAAGTGGAACAGTCGATTTTGATGAATTTTTGGCATTAATGGCCAAAAAAACAAAAGAAGCAGAAGATGAACGAGAATTACGTGAAGTATTTCGTGTTTTTGATAAAAATAGTCGTGGAGTCATTGATGTAAGTTAATTTTTTTTTTCCATTTGAGGCTTTAATTTATACATTTTTCATAACTTATTTTAGGTAGCCGATCTGAAATTAATATTCAAAGCACTTGATCCAGATATGGCGGAAGATGAAGTAGATCAAATCATATCGGAAGTCGATGAAGATGGTAGTGGAACAGTTGATTTTGAAGGTAAAAACAAATCTTAAATAATCAGTAACACTAGAAACTTGTTGACTACAGAAATCAATCACCTATGTTTTGTTCATCAGCCGCATACTTTTTGAGTACTGTGTAGATTCTCATTCTGAAACGATGCTCCCGACTTCTGTATTTTTAGATTTTCAACAGACAATAACTATCTATATGTATTGTTTTTTCTCGTTTTTTTTAATAGAATTTTACAAACTGATGACTGGTTAAAAAAAGTTAATAACAACATCAACATCATTACTTCCATGTTATTTTCTTTCTCATAACAATATATTACTTCTTTTTTTTCTCGCTTGTTCGCAATTCGCATATTATGTGTATCAAACAACAGCGGACTGTTCTTAACTTTTATAATAATGTTCAATCGCACAGTTATGGTATCAATAAACAGCAAAATTTTTAAAAACCAAGTATTGTTTTGATACACATTTTTTTTTGAAATAATAAAACTAACAACAAATAAATATTGTAGGAATTTCTTATACAGAAAAAATTGATTGGTTGTTTAGATTTGATATGTTAAATATTCACTGAATCAATGCTATCGGTTATTATTAACTATATCATCACGCTGTAAATGTAAGATCACATCCAGGATAATAATTATGCATAGTTTTATTTTTGTCAAAATTGATCGTCCTGAAATATTCTGAAATATGTTTTTAAAATAATGACGTAGAAATATAGTGAAATTTCGTTTTAATCACACCATAAATCAAGTTAAGTAAGAGATACCAGTGAATATTTTCCAGTATATTACTAGCTCTAAATTCAAAGTACTAATCAACTGCTGAAAAAATTGTGTTTTTATTATTTGATTAAAACTAGTGATGATAGAAAAATTCGATAGTTCATAGTAACAACAATATTTCGCTATTTTGATCAATGTTAACATGTTCGTTTATGATTTGGACATCGAAATTTTAAATGTAATAAAGCTTTCTTCATTTTATACGCACAATGTTTATTGTGAGATAGTTTTGATTCATCTATCCTTTTCAACGTTCTCTTTAATGATTGGTTTTTAGCAAATTTCACGTTAGCACGCTTTTTTAGTGCAAGTTTTTCACCGTTAACCGGCATTACTAGGGATTGTTGCATAACTGGTTCGTTTAACATAGCATTGCTTAGTTTTTCTTTTGACATTGAAATATCGAAAACTGATGATATTTTTGGTTGAAATTTTTGACTTAAGAATTGTTTATCATCTTCTCGCCATATTTGTGATTCAATGTTTTCTCCTTCAATTCGCCACAATTCTTCGATAGACATTTTTAACAGTTTTAATGCTTGTTTAAATTCTTTATAATGTCGTCTTACATTGCCAATTGATTGTATTGAATGATTTTTACGTAGTGTAAGATACGAAGTCGATTTAGAGCCAATATCTTTTCCTCTCGCTAAATTCTCATACATATTTTTATATTTAATATAACTACGTGATTTTCGTGCTTCAGTTTACAGTAATAGACATGAGAAGCAAATTCTAGTTAGAAAAACAAATTTTTCGAAAATAGTCGATATATTTTGAAAAAGTTTTATAAGAACAAACAGCGCGTTGTGAACAGAGAGTAACTATGCATAAACATTTGCCTAAAGTGAGTCATCTAGATTTTCTGCTACGGATGAATGACTTATAGTTCCGAATAGGTACGCGTGTAGCAAAAATTTTCATGCAATACGGAAAACTCTAAATCGCGAGAAAATACAAACATTCTTTTCTAACTTTACTTTAAAAAATGTGACGTTTAGTATTTTATTTGTATTTTTTAAATAAAAGATCGTGCAAAGTCCGACAATATCTCATTTGATCCAGAAATATTTACCATTCTGTTATAGTTCTCAAACTAAAATTCCAACCTTGCTTCGATGACCTAAAAGCTTTAAATTTAAACTTTCAAATCCCGACGTTGCTATTTGAACGGAAATATCAAAGGTTCTTCAGGATAGCATGTAGCATAAGCAAATCATTATCACACACACACACGGAAATTATCTTTCTTCAATTATCAACTTAATGTCAGAAAGCATATTATCATAATTTCGAACATATTGGACATATATGTCCAAGTATATCGGGTATACCCGATAACATAACAGACTGGTCCTGGTACAAAGCCAAAAAGTGCTCGTCAAAAAGACTCGAAAAATTTACGTCCATATGGTCATAATCACTTAAGCAATTCGGACATGATGATGTTTTTATGTCGTCTATATTAAAGGCGAAACACGCAAGTCATTATTAAACAATGAGCAAATTACAGATACGTACCCATATCTGCCAAATTGATATTTAAAACGCGCTGATCACAGTCAACCATATAAGCCATATCTGCTAATAATTCATCATCCATTTCACATAAATCAATAGAAGGTGCACTATCCCAATGCATGACTAATCAAAACGTTTCCAAAAGTAAGCTCTAAAAAGTACAAAGAGTTTTAGGCGCTAAAGGGTAAAATATTTCGTTTTATTTTCCGAATAATGGGCTAGCCCAGTATTTTGGAATATATATATTAGTGTCATTACGCGTTTAAGTTTATTCGTTTCAAAAAGTGTTGTGACGTCGTCTGTTTATTATTATTTAGTTATTTGTTTATTGATTTAGTTTATTTAGTTATTGTTTCATTATTAAGTTTATTTGGTATCAAGTTCAAACGGTTAAGGGTTATCGTCGAAATTACGAAAAGGTATTTATAAACTAGGAAAATTCCTATTTGCCCACCTTGAACAGAGTCTCCAGTTGTTTTCTGTTATATATGATGCAACGCTCTGGTCACGGCTTAGACCTGGAATTTTGTATTCCTTCCCAATTCTATTATCTTTCATAATGGTAAGTGACTATTCGATCTGATTAATCGACCCATCTTTCACTTCTTATTGTAACTTTTTATTTTTAAAAATGTGTATTCAACCTATCTCTTTTGTTTGATGAGCCCAGTGATGACGACTGGTCTGCTCTCTTTAACTTTTCTTTTAGGAACTGACTTGGTTTGACCTTAGTACACTGCTACGGTGGGAGACCTCTGTAAGAAGAATAGGTCAACCCGCCCGATCAGTTGTTGGCCAAATGCACCGAATGTATAACAATGCTAGGGTATTGTATAACATCGATATGGGCAGCCAAGTTGGTTTTTCGGTAGTTTAATGGTAGTTTCCATCGTTTTCAGAAGCGTCTTCAGCGATAGTTTTATGATCATTAGAGTTTTCTATTTGACATAAACAAAAACTCAAGGGATTTTGAATTTTCGTTACGAAGAAATCCTTCGCAAGCATTTCTTAAATGCTTAATATAAGAAAGCAAAAACATTCGAAGAGCTTAATCCGCAAAATTATTAAGAGGATTTTGAAAATAATGAGCTAGCCAATTATTTCTAGGATGGAAGGGATTCCCTTCCATTCTTTGAATAATGGGATGCAGATATGGACGTAGATTTTTCGAGTCTTTTTGACGAGCACTTTTTGGCTTTGTCCAGTCTGTTATGTTATCGGGTATGTCCAATATGTTCGAAATTTACTTTGTGATATGTTTTTCGAGTTTTGTATTATAGAACATAACTATCTGTTAATGAATAGGAACCCGTAGCAGAAGAAGATTTGAATATTGGTCCAGAGATTACTGAAAGTTTCGAAAGGGACGACACTCAAGGTGGTATTACATCAGATCTTTTGCCAACATGCCGTTTACTTTCACTGTTGACGACAGATGTGGTTGATACAATGGTATTAGAAGAAGAGGCAACAGTTGATGCTGATACTGTTTCGATGGAAGATGGTAAGTTCACTCGCTTATCTTTATTCTCTGTTTGTATGTTATGATTCTGTTCAGATGATGATATACTTTTTATTGGAACGACTTGTTGTACCTTTGGAAAGAAACCGGCGGAGGAACAATATGATGCTGAAAAAGGTTTGTTCGTATGCCTTAACACAACGTGTTCTTAAAGTTTTTCTCGATTAGATAATAACATAATGATTGCAGAAACCAAATGTGCTGATGCAGAGGATAAGTGTGTATTTATCGTTTAGTTGTTTTCTCACATGCTTCTATCTTTTAGATGATGACTTTTTTGAAGTACTTGCGGCTGTAGCTAATTGCAATCGTTCAGCTATACAAATGGGTTCAATCAAAAGCCCTTTACATGCTGGACCAAACATTACTAATGAAGATCTTTATCCGTTGTTCACGATGGACGCAAAACGGTGGATATCGACAGACTCTCAAAAGGCTCTCGGTATCTATCAACGCAAGAGATGTACAGCAACGGTTTAGGTCTTCTGAAGAATGTTTGCCATCTGGTACTGCAGGACTCCCGAAAGAACCCCGACGTGTCTGATATATCTCTTCTGCCCACGTACCCTTGTACTGGAGCTCAGTTCATTGCACTCCAATTAGATATGTGCACCACAGCATTTAACTTGGTAGCAATTTATTTTTTTCGATCTGTACATTTCTCTTAAAAATTCAAGCACCTATATCGACGATGGCGTAAGGATTGTAGTGTGTGTATTCAAAGTTATCAGCCTTTTTTAATGTAATTGCTTTCTTTATAGCGTCTTCGTCATGTCTGGAGAATCATACATAGAAGGGAGCTACGGCCGTTTATGGAAGAAATGGACAAACTAACTGTTGAAACATAGAACTTCCACTTTGTATGAATATCTGAATTTTCCTGTTTTCATTTTGTATCTTTGTTCTGGTTTTTTAATTTTGATTCTGTACCTACTATAAATTTTATGTTGTTCCATTTAAAAAAATAAAAAACACAAAAAAATCAGGATCGCAGAATGCTGCTAAACCGCCTGATGATGATCCTTCAGCAAGGTCGAAACCGTTTGATGATGAATCGCATAAAACCTCCAGATCAGTCCTATATTCGGTAAGGACGAAACTCACTCTTAAATATTTGTAGAATGAGTCGGGGTATGCACCTAACCTCCCTCGATTTTGGTCGTGGTGGAATATATTTCGAACCTATTATTTCGAAACATATAGCATAAAAAGTGTTTTGCATAATATATGAATATTCTGTACCGCATCGGTTGCAAGTTTATTTAGAAAACCTGTGATTGATACGGCATTTTTTACGACTTTATGCGAAAGAATATGAACATATTCAATCTCTATCATGGAGAGTTAAAAATGTATAGATAAATTACGAGATAATGGTGGCGTCTGATCAGATTTTAGAGGTAAAAGACACTCTTCGTTTCTGTGTATCACTGCAACCGCGCACTTTTTGATTACGCCTCTTGTCACGTTTTCCAACTGATTATATAAGTGATGACAATTCATCAAGCTGTTTTTCACGTTTTATTGTTATCGGCTGCATCATCCTCTAAAATTTAAGAGGAGTTAATTAAAAATACATCAGTACATCTTTGGAACAGTGAGATATAGTCAATATGTAGTAGATAACTTACTACTAATTCCTTGAAGTCTAAGAGCTTCTCTTTCGTCCTTTGGCCGACGATTTTGTATCGCCCATCGTTGAATATCACCACTTCCAATAAATAAAAATACGAGAGCACCCAAACAGTAAATAGCAGCACAAATAAAAAATACAATACGCCAATTTTTTGGATCCTGTAAATGAACAGTTTTATTTGTATAAGCTCTTCACAGACGTTCTGCATATAGTTATTACCTTGGCTGTAACAGCACCAACAATATACGGACTAATGATCCCTGGCAAAGTAGCAAAGGTATTTGAGATACCAAATACAAGACCTGCATACGAGGGAGCAATGTCGTTTGCTAAAATATTGTTACTATATAATATAAGATGAAAACTATTCAACAGTTAATAACTTACCAGTCATCATAAATCCTCCTCCATAACAACATCCGCTGAAGAAATTTAAATGTTCAACTTTTCAAAAAATAATTCAATTTATCTGTTAAATGACATACGTGAACATTATTCCAAGAGTAAGTAACGCTACGCCAACATATTTCGATTGGCACGTGACAAATGCAAGACCAAGCACAAAAGAAGCTGGTATGAAATTTCCTGAATCAGCGTGATAAAGAAAAAGTTCCAGTTGTTTGCGTTATCATACTGTTGTATAGAGAAAGCCAACATGCTCAGTTCATACCTAAAGCATTGAAGAGTTTTCGTGTTCGAGTTCTTGTCAGTATTTCTTTGCGGACAATAAAATCAGCCACTGTTCCACTAATATTAATATTGATCCAAAACACAATATAGGGGAGCGCTGATAACATTCCGTTCTAAAATTAAAACTTACAAACACGAAATGTATGCCTTAAATTATTAATATACCGATTTCAAATCGAATCTTAAAACTTCTGCCATGTATTTTGGTATACTGGTTAAAAACGTGTATGTTCCCCAATTGTTGCACGTGTGGACTATGAAGAGAGCCCAACAAGCTACAAGAAAAAATGTGAATATTCACAAAAACGATCGTCTACAAAAACTATTACCACGACTTGTCATAATAGCTCTCCATGGTGCACTCTAAAAATTAACTGAAAGCAAATAGATCCAAGACAACAAGATGAGAAATACGTACAAATTCACCTTTACTATGGCTTTCTAGCTGATGTTGAGTACTTTCTAATACATAAGTTTTTTCACGTTGAGATATACATCGCTGATTTGCGGGGCTATCGGCATAAAACAACAGCCATACAGCACTCCAGATAAATCCAATTCCACCTAAAACAGGAAAATAATGGGACTAGAACTCACCAGTGCAGTTATACAAGCTAAATCACCTGTGAAGTAAAAAATTAATGGCCAACCCTCAGCGAAATGCCATGTACACATGGCAGCGCCCAATGGGAGCGTGATGACGTTTCCAATTTGTGCTCCAGCATTCATAAACCCCAACAATCTACTTCTTTCTGCTGGTGGAGCCCAATGACTGAGAACAAAGTTTTTTCTTGATACTACTCATACAATTTAAGTTGACTTACGCCATAATGGTAGCCATACTAGGCCAAATTACTCCATGTAGAAGTCCAACAAACATTCTCAACAAACTTAATGTAATCCAATGAGCTTTGGCTGCAAATGGCATTACTATTGTAATGATGCCCGATATTAACATCGCATAGCCAAATAATTTTTTAGCACCAAATTTGGCTGCTAACCAACCAGCAGGAATCTCCGTAATCAAATATCCCCAAAAATACGCACCTTTGAATGAACAAATAATGCTGCAAGTATTTTTTTAAAATATGATTCGTGATGTACCCAACACCAAGCCTTGTATATTTTTACTCCAAGCGAATGGTCCTATCTATAGATAAAGAAAGAGTAATTCTATTGGCTTTTTACCTTACAGACCGATTATGCCGATTACTACTTACGATTTTTGATGATGCTGATGTCGAGCATTTCAGACTCTCTTCAGTTTGTCCCGATGTAATGTCTTTATGATGTTCTATTGCTGAATGATTTACCATACACACAATAGCAACACTCATATTTACTTTTTGACTATAATGGCACATCATTCCCAGAAAACCAATGAAAGCGACTGCAACTCGAACGGAAATCCAAAATGGTGCTATTATGCATGAAACAAAACTATAATTACACTGAATTTAGTCAAAAATTTATGAATCGTATACCAGGTGACGATCGATCGATCATTTTTTTATACAAATGATAAGAGTTAAAGGTTCACAGTTAATTTAAACAAACAACTATACTTTTGGCACCGACACACTAAACAGTACTTTATAAAAGATACTAAATAAAAGTTTCTCTTGTAGTTTCATATAGTCAACTGGAAGAAACTATAAAACAAATTGAAACAAACTCTACTACTCTGGTTTAGCGCTAAGCTCTGTGTAATATTAATTTTAAAGTCTCATAAATACTATGGTTATTATGATTAAAGTAGAACAAACGAAAAATGTTGTAATCATTTGGATTCAGAGTACTGTTGTTTTCTCATTGAGTGAATACAAAAGGAAAATAGAGAATTCACATCATGGAATTCCCTATTTTCTCTATCTTTGATGGATCTACAAATAAAATCAACCACTCTTTTTTTTCTTATAGACTCCTATATCGCGATCGTATTGCTGTTATGAAATCACTATTCTCTGTTTTCGACCGTTCTGTCATATGCAAATGCATATATATTCATTCATTCATTTATTCGTCACTAATAATTATTCATGAAACGTGATAAAAATTACAGCAACTTTGTTTGACATTAAACTTGATAATGAAGTGAAAAAAATCTATTTCTGCATTAGAATTATGTCTTTGTTTTTTAAAATCAACATCAGATGTTGATATAGATTGAAGAAGACACAGGCACCATTAAGCCACGATTTACGCAATTTCATTCATGTTATCTTTAGGGATCATCCATTATTACAAACCATTGATTTAAGCTTAAGTTTATTATTTAGAGACAGGAACAATAAAATGATCTCAAATATTTTTCTATTTGAAGTATAAAAAAATAATTTTTCTAAATTGATGATAATAAGTATGTACAACAAACAAAAACAAGCTCATTCCGTACAATATCTGCACAAAAAATATTTGTCATTATATTCAGCTAGAATACGGTCAAGGTTAACAGTAAAACAACACAAAATTGAGAATAAATAAAAGTCTAATTAACTCTCACCGGCATACAAGCGACTGTTCAAAAATACTTAGCGAGTGAGTCCTTTCATTTATCAAAATTTAAGAGATATAAAGTCTGCTTTCTCATTTGAATTATTTGTTCTATTTCGTAAAATGAAATTTACTATTTAAAAATCTTGCCATTAAACAATATGAATGGTATGAATTTATTGATCCAGACCATTGACTAACATTTTGGCTTGACCAAAATGCGATATTTCGACTACACAAGGACTCTGCTCCCATGGTTCTCCGTCACACTGTACAGGAAATCGTTTATTAAGTGTAAGCTAAAGATAGAAATATACACATACATGAATAAAGTTGCCAACTGAAATGATGAAACTAACCTTAACATGTTGTGCTTGTCCAATTCGAAATGGATCAGCAAGACCAACTTGCATTTGCGCGATGTGAAACGATGAATAAATACCAAAAACTTCGATCCGACCATCGTTAATCCTACAAAAAAAAACTACGGGATTAGAAAGCTGTTTTACAAAATTCACTAGAAGGCTTTACTAACCGTTGAACTGGAATATTAGGTCCAGCTCCCCAAACACGAACCCCTATTTAAAAAACGTTATAATTAAATATTTATTCTATGAAAATGATCTTGTTCTTTATACCTGCTCCCCATGAGGGGATGTTCAATATACAAATTCCCTCCAAATTAGGAAGATTGGTGACTTCAACACCATCGAGTTCAAGCTATCAAATACACAAAATATCGTAAACAAACGAGAAAAAAGTTTTATTAGATTTGACCTCTGGTTTCTAGTAGAGCTACTAAATTTAGGAAACGAAGTTCAGTGATTTTCGTCCGTTAGGGGATGAAAACTTCAAATAATTAAAAATTTCTGTTGTTCACAGACACCCACAGGCATAGGCAAACAACTTTTAGTGATGGACATGCGTACATATTTTTAAAATTTTTTCGACGGGCACGGATAATGGGTTCGAAAAAAGCGTGGGCGTACATGTTTACTACTAGTCTCTCTCAATTACGTTGGGAAAAAACTACCATAATAAAATGAAGTTTAATAAAATACCCTTGTATTATCTTGAAGATCTTTACATTCTTTGAGAAATGTATCGATCGTACCATAATGGAAGTAGTAGAGCTAAAAACAAACATAAAACATATCAAAATGAACTTCAGAAATAACTTTCTTTTCTAACCTTGTTCAAAAATCGACTAGCAAGAAATTCTGGAATGGTGTCTCGTCGTTTATGAAAATTGAGAGCAACCAAAGCATCGCCTAGAAACAGAATAAAAATAGTTACACACAAGTTGTTGAACTTAAAAAATGTACTTACATCCAACGGAAAAATAATTACTCATACGTAATTTCTATAAAAATGTTTAAAACACTATTAATCAATATGAGAGAGTCTACAAGTACATACTCGAGGAGTAGTTGTTGGCAAACCAAAATGTTTCGCTTTTGAATTAATATTAACTGACCATCTAAATAAAAAAATTAATTTTATATATAAATAGACTTCTTAACCCTTTCCAGCCTGATGTTGCCATTTGGCAACGCTTTTTGCTGTGTTTTCGAAACAGCCGACTGGAAAGGGTTAAAATGAAACTATTTTATTCATTACCGATCGATTGTACTAACTCTTGCAAAAACGAGTCGTCGTAAATAGTCCACAGCATCCACTGTCGCATCTTCACCACTTCCCCAACCCAAAATACGCGCCAAATCATTACCCGTACCCATTGGTAAAATTCCCATTGCTGGTTTAATCTAAATTTAATATACAGGTATTAACATAGATGGTTGAGAGCGTGTGAACCTCGTATTACGCATTAGTCTTCGATGTATTCTCTGTAAAATCTGAACAGGTCAACGAAAAAATTAAAAAGCATTCTCTATTCTATCATACATTCTCTATCCAACCTAAAATCAGTGTGATTGTCCTCTAAATTCTTGTTCTAGACCCTTTAACATTCAGCACACTTCCTTTTTCTGAAGCCAGAAGAGTTTAGAGTTCCGCTAATAGGTGGCTAACCCAAGAGCAAGACTACCGGCAGCCCAGGGGCGCCGCCCACTATTGCAAAACAACGGCTGATTTTCAGTTATTTCCATGTTAAATAAATAGCTAAATTGCAAAAAACGATTTTCAATTATTATTTTTTCTTTAATTGTATACTGGCAGAATTCAATGTGGCCATTCGAACATAAATTCAAACATCATCTCAAAATATTAATAAATCATCAAATAAATTCTTAATAAAGATTATTAACACCACCATTCCTTTTTTGTTTTGTTATAAAAAATAATAATAGTGTTAAATTTGACTATAGGTCAAAAACCAAAAATAAACAGTAAAAAGCAATGTTTTGAGCTGTCAATCTGATAAATTAATGTTAGTCGCTTTCATGAATAATTACACTTACGCTCGTAATATTATTTTCAATTGTTTCTAAAATCCATGAAACCGTACCATCACCTCCAATAATTAATATTCGAAATTCTGTTTCTGGTAATGAGTTACACCAATTTAAAATTGTGACAGGATTAATCTCTGTTACATCAATTACCTACAAAAATGATTAGTAAAAAATAATTAGTACAAAGTAATAGTGTCTTCAAACAAATTATACTTGTATGGCATTTAAATGTGTTCGAAATAGATTCAATACAATATCACTATTTGTACCACCAGATTTTCTATTTCCGATAATCAATAATGGTGTCCATCCATGAATACCTGGATGTAATATTTTCTCAACAACACCGTGACGATAACCGACAACTCGTTGATTACCCGCTCGAGAAACAACGGCATTAGGCTAAAAATAGAAATTGTTTTTTAATATACATCTAGAGTAGAGTGATAAATATAGAAAATACCGGTATAATTAATTGTCGAAATTCACCAAGGTCACATTCTTCATTTAATGCTCGAATACAATATTCATGCACAATTCTCTGACACCACAAACATCGATAATCACACAAACGAGGCTCAGCACCGCATGCTTTTGCACAAACAACGCAAACACTATTTAAATCTAAATTTCCTTTTGTCCATTGATGTCGAGGTTGTTCATCATCATCTGTTGTAATCATTTTGCACTTATATAAACGTCTAGCTGGTTTAACACATCTAAAAAAATAAACAGTCAAACATTAATTATTAATTTTTCTAGTAGAAAAAAAAATTATCATCATTTACCGTTCATGAACATAAATTAGACAGGATGAACAACAAAAACCACTTATTATTGAACTTGAACAAACATTACATATAACAGGTGAAATAAGATCTTCGGCTAACCAATAATGTGCATCGTCAATTAATCGATATGTTTTAAAATATTTATGTCGAAGTCGTGTTATCCAAGATATAATAATAATAAAACAAATTAAAATTGAGCAAAAAATTGTTGCTGATAAAAAATTTTCTGTTATTAAATGAATACGCATAATATACATGCACAACACATCTAAATCGAAGAGAAATATACAAACTCGATAGAGGTAACCTATGAAAATGAAGAAATATTTTATAACAATCGAAAAATGCATAAAAATATACGAATAATAAAGCTAAATTCTATGATAAAGAAATAGAACTCTAGATGTGTCAACATCACCAAAGACAGACAAATGAAAATGAAAATCTAATTGAAATTTACTTTAGATGTAGATTTCATTTAATCAGTCTCTCTATGAGACTTGAGAGAAAATAATTATCTGTTTTATATAAAAATACAAAATGAAAAAGAGTTCACGTATAGACTTATGTTAAGATATAAAATTAAACAAAATCATTTTAAAAATTCGATACAAAAAATATATTATCAACAAGTATTTTGTTCAAGTTACAGTACTTTTTCGCGTATGGCAAAGGAAAAATTATATCAATAAAGTCGAAAAAAACAACAACAACAACAAAGTAATTCCTTCATTGCAAAATAAACTAACACTAAAATACTTGACTACTCATTTGTATTCTAAAAATTTTCAGCTGTTATTTTTGCACTTTACTGTTCTAGATTATGAATGAGTAGTAAAAAAAAAAAAAACACTGTTATATCCGAAATTGTCTATAATTACGTCTGAATTAAGTGTTTGCAATCATATCACAATATTTTGGATCCTTTATGCTCTAATAAATCTTTAATTCTATCAACGGTTTGATTTAAAACGACATTAACAGATGCTAATTTCTCATATTTATCAAATTTAACGTACAATTCAATTGTGACATTTTGCAAATGTATTTCATATTCATGTCTCCTATTTGAACGTTATTCAAGTGTTTTTTGCACATATTTCTTTTGTAATTCATAAGCTATAAATTGATTTAGTTACGAAAAAATTCTTCCAACATCATTTGAACATACTTGAATGGATTTCAGCATAATTGTTGTTTTTGAATTATCAGTAGAATGTGATATTTCAGGATACTAAATATAACGGATTAACATACCCATATGGTGATACTAAATATGACGTTGTTGTTCAATGTTGGAATAACCAGTGTCAGTAGATGTTTGACCATGTTGTTGTCATCATTTAAAATTGTATGTAACGAACCATCGTGATGAAATTGTGAACAATGATTAGACGCCACCAAATCTTCTTTTTCATTATAATAAATAAGAATCACTCGGATTATACCTAGAAGAACAATATTTCTTCAAAATAAAGGTCTACCATTAATGAGAGAGAGAGAACAAAACTCACCAGCCTAGACACATGTGTTTTTGTTGTGACAGATACAAGTGCAAGACAATCCGTAGCGACTTTTCAATTGATGGGTCGAATTTCGCTGGTACTCGTTCTGTATTGTGAATTTTCAGCCAGTTGTTGTTTTTCGGCACAATCAATTGTCATTTGTAATAGACAATGGTCCATATCTATGAAATAATAAATTAACATTCATATCTGATGTCATCATGGGTGATTCAACCGGATCAACAATAAACTAGAGACCAATTTGATGATCTTTTAGATACCAATATGTATGTGATACCCGACAATGTATATTATCATTTATTTTTGATATTATTGATGCTATTTAAATCCATCTATCTAAAAAACATAAAAGACACTATTTCAACGAATAAAACATTTGTTTTTGCTACACAACAAAAACTATATGATGAAAAATTGCTCAAAATCAGATTCATCAGAATACATTTATTAGATAATAAAATTTAAAAACAATTTATAGTGTTCAATAAATAAACTATTGAGATTATCTAAAATCAAATACATTCGTAAAGATATTCTCGTACTTACTTCGTGAATATCTATAGGTAACATTCTATTTATCTTCAAAAAAACAACAACAGTATTTTGTCTCTTTTTTTTCTTTCTCTTATTTCTCGAATAAATGTACAATACATAAAACTAAAACACAAAAAAACAAAACAAAAATAACATATACACTTAGAAAACAAACGGAATGAGATACAGCCGAAAACAATTAGAAAAATAATAACAAAGTGAGTTTTATTTGCAACAGCAAGAACAAAAAAGAAAACAAAGTTAACAATAACAAGAATAATTTAAAACAAACAGGGAAATGTACAACACTCCTTGTTTTGACAAGAGGAAGATAAGTCCCATAAAATCGAAAAGTCTCACAAAAAACACAACAAAATATTTAATTTTCTATCCGACATGAGAAGACAAACAAAGATATTTATCGTGGGACTGTCTGACTAGGACTGGATGATTGATTTTTACAATAAATAAATAAAAAATTCTAACTTCAAAGTCAAAGTTCCGTACAATCCCTATCCATCACTTTCATTACCCACGACTGCTATATCAAAGTTTATCATCTAAAAATTCCTCTGTCTATTAAATATGAGGTGGAAATTTGATCAAATATTAGATTAAAGCATAATACAAAAGTCAATTCTTTCGTCATTTTTACATAATGGAACTAAAGGAAGTGTGTGAGAGAGAGAGAAAGAGAGAGAGAGAGAAAGAGAGAGAGAGAGAGAGAAAGAGAGAGAGAGAGAAAGAGAGAGAGAGAAAGAGAGAGAGAGAGAGAGAAAGAGAGAGAGAGAGAGAAAGAGAGAGAGTTTGAGGCAAAAGTGAGCTTCCAGAAAACAAAGATTTGGTGGGTTAATATTTTTTGATAAACTGACAGAGTTGGCTCTAGACTGAAGGGAAAAAAAGCTACTAAGAGAAAATAGACGTATAACTACGTCATGTTATAGCTACAAATGGTTTAAATCGTTTTTCTAATTGTGCAATTGAATAAGATAATTGAGCAAAACCATTTATTAACGAAACAATTTCTGATCGTTGTAATTGAAATGCATAAATTGGTTTTTGATTAAATAAAATTTTTAATGCTGTACCCAATGCTTGTATCTGTAATTTACCCCATAATTTACATTTATCACATCCTACACAATCCATAATTCGACTTATATTACGAAAATGTTCTTTAAATTCATATTTTAATTGTTCATTATCTTTAAATAAATCAGTTTCATTAAAATGATGTGAAAATTTTTGTATTTCATTAAATAATTGATTTTTTAATAGATTTTTTGTATCTTTATCATCTGTTTCATTTCCTGTAAAATAAGTTACTCGTTCTAAATATGGAATGGCTTTATCTAAAGCTCGTAATTCAACTAAATAAATAAAATATAAATTTTTTAACCATAATGGACCTTCACTATCCGTTTTTTTCGGATCAAATCGTCGAGAAAATTCTTGAGTATTAGGTCCCCAACGATCACTTAAACCTAAATAACCGGGAAAAAAATATTTTGAACATAAATGAATACTTATACTTGAATGTAAACCAGATATTAAACGATAAAATGTACGTCCTTCTAAACATAATTGTCTAAAATTTTGTCGTTTTTGTCTTAAATTATAATATGCTTTTGAATCGGACATAAAAAAACAATTTTCATTATAGATAGCTGTCCAAACACGTTTTGTCGATTCACCACTATAGCCAGTATATCGTTCACTATTTAATGATAAATCAATATATTCTATATCTGATGATGTTTCATCATCAATATCACAAAAATTATCTAATTTATTATCATCAAATTGTATCCATTTTTTAATTGTTTGTTTATCTTCTTCACTTAAATCTTTATTTAATTCTCCTAATGATAAATCATCATTGCTAACATCAATACATTGTTCTTGTTCATTTGTTTGTAATTCTTGACGATACTTTCCATATTCATCATGATTTTTATTTTGTCGTAATGTTTCAGGTAATTGATCAATGGGACATGGTTTAACAGCACAATCTTTTAATACACATTTACTATCGTCAATCCAAAATTGACATTGTTTTTTCAAATTTACAGGATAAAAACGAAAATAATTTTTTTGTGTTAATAATTCTAATACGGGATAGATTTTATTATTATTTAAATCGTTTAAATCAGCAATTCGACAGTTACAATCATCGATTAAATCAGTACGATTTTTTTTCTCTTGACTACATGTTGCTGTTGCTGTTGTTGTCGTAGTGGTTGAAAGTGTACTAAGATTATCAGATGATACTTGGTAAAAAATAAATAGGAAAATGCAGAGAAAACAATAGCGAATCATATCTGAAATAAAAAATTCATTTTTTATCAGAAACAAGAATGTGATGCGAGGATACTATGCCAAAAATTATTTCTGGTGAAATGGAATAGATTCTCCAAGGAAAAAATCAGAATTTGTAATAGAAAAACTGAAAACTGGATTAGTGGAATGTACTGCAATGTGGATAGTTTTAAAAATGCTCTCAACTTGACTGATTAAAGCAATATTAACTTAAAGAAACGTTCTCAAAAGATGTACGATGAAAATAAACGTTTTTTTCTGTTTCAAATCGCCAAACTTTATGGAAACGATGTGTATTTTTCGTTTTCTTTAAAAGAAAAGAATGAAAAAACGTTATTTTTATTGTACATCTTTTAAGAGTACTCTCAAAGCTTTTTTTCTAGAACAGTTGGTTTTAAGAGTTCCAAAATCAGCATGATTGAAGGATGTTTTCCTCAAATTCACTCGATATCCTACTACCTTAACGAAAATAAAACTACAGGATTCAGATAAAACTTCAATGAAAATTAATTAACATTACTGCGAAAGACTTATTTATACTAACCATTTCTGGGAAAAAATTATAAACTTTCGAGACACCCTGAAACTCACACACATTAAATCAAGACGGAAGAGTAACTATCAAGTTTTTGCAATAACCTTGCTTAAATACTAAATTAAGGTAGATCGTGCTATAGAAAAAGCGCCTAATTTCGGCCTCCTCTTGAAGATAACTAATGTCCAGTTCTTAATAATCTAAGAAGACAAGCAGAATCTCGTAAAAGATGCTCGATTCTGGAGAACTATCTAATTTGCAATAGTACTGTGGCTATACGTTTTCTAAAATATAAGTATTATGGTCTGTATACGTTTTAAATGAAAGGAAAAATGACAATTATTAAGACGTGTCATAAAAGATGAACGGAACGTGTCAAGAAAGTCTGAGTCACCAAAAAAAATAATGTTCATGACACCTATCGGATGATTACTAGCACATTGTTAGAGCAAATAGAAAATGAGTATATGAACTCTACAATCTATGCCTTTCAGAGTTTGAAGAAAGACTATAGTTTCAGTTTAAATAGTATAATTTCACTATTAAAAATGCTTTGTAATCTGCTCATGTAAATAGAACAATTCTTCCACTATACAAAACGTCTATTGGCTAAATTTTAGCAAACGGGATAAAGATACAGGTGGAAACTGTTTGTTTGTGTTGTGAACACGTTTTATTGATTGTCATTAGTTAAGTGTGTGGCAACTGGGGGGGAAGCGTGGGGGGGGGGGGGGGACGGGTTGGACGGAATTTTATTTTAGGTCAACACAAAAGCCGGCCGTTTATGGAAAAAGGGACNCCCCCCCCCCCCCCCCCCCCCCCCCCCCCCCCCCCCCCCCCCCCCCCCCCCCCCCCCCCCCCCCCCCCCCCCCCCCCCCCCCCCCGCCAAGCGTATGACAGTCATAGTATTTATCTGATACAGAAATGCCTGACTGTATGTGATAATGCTACCACCAGCCATTTTCTCAAACACTGAAGTTTAGCGAGAGATATTGGGTTAAAATTTGCCGAAATGGGCAGACGCATAGAGAGCATTTAGATATTTTGTAAAACTCTTGTAATAAGAGTTTTTCACCCTTGCTCTTTCAATCGTTTGCCCTTTCAATCCAAGATCGAGCAGTCATAGTAAGGTCATACATAATCTGTACTAGGTCTTTCACCGTCCGTTCATACGATTCTTCCATCTACATAAGATATTTTTTGCTTAAATCATGAGAAGGTATCATATCTAGAAGAGAACTAAAATTTTAACCTTTAAAAGGCATTTGACTCAGCTAAGAGCTATCTTCGATTCCGCTTCTTTGTTCATGATAAAGTAAAAATTAACACTTTCTTTCTTAATTAGTCTATTCAAATATGAACCTGAGCACCTTTGTATGTATTATTGCAAAATATGAAAATCAGTTAGTTGTTGATCCTGCGATTATCTCAACTAGTAGGCCAAATTTGTTTTTTCTGTGTCTCGTATTTAAAGGTGCGTTTGAATCTTTTTCAAATAGGTGAACGTAGCGCCTTTCGTTTTTCGAACTGAAATACGAAGGTTATGTTAATTCTTCCGATTTAATCTCTGATTGATGCAGCTAAATAAACCTAATTATTTGTTCGCATTGTCTTTCACCAGAAGTAAAATCAATTTTTTGCGTGTTTTTTAAGATCTCGCAAAAAAGAAAACTGTTCCTAGTTTTTATAATGATTCACATATAAAATTTTTGTTTCTGTTCTATATATTTATTTCATTATGAAGAACAGATATATATTTCACTATTAGTGAAATTTAATAAAATTAGAATTAATCTTGTCTTTCAATTATTATAAGTTTTCTTATTTCTTTTTTTCATGTTGGAAGGAAAGTGTTTTATTTTGCTTGCTAAAATATTAATTTGATTGATTTAGATTCTGTCCGTGAAACTACTTTTTTCTCGTTGTCTCTGCGTATTCTTTCTTATTCGGAGACAATATGGTAGTATATTTTCTTATATGAGTGATTCATATAATTTCCTGTTAATACAACAGTTTTGATACCGTAAAATGACGCCAGATTTGATGGAACAAAAAAATATGGTATTGTAGCCGTATCAGCATCGTAAAATGGTAGTAGGTGCCGCGTCAATACTTTGAGCATTCCTCTATATTTTCTGTTTATAATGTATACAAAAACGACATTTTGGAATCAAATACAACTTTAGTTTTTTTCAGACGAGAACATTGGGCTAGGTAGTAACAATGTGGCATTAAGTATTAAGATTCAGTTTTGACTAGGTCACGTTGAGACCCGTTTTCGATTTGACTTTTCAACAACTCATTTTGTGAGACACTAGTTTAATATGAAAATCTGATAATGTAACCCTGCAATGCGTGCGTGCATCCTGAAAAAATCGACTAAAAATGGATTTTAGTCAAAAAATTAATATTTTTGAATGATGCGTAATTCGATTCAGCTTTTAATGCTGATCACTGTTTGTTTTTGATAAAAATACATATTAGTTGAAATAGAGACTGATCAAAATTAGCTTCATGTTTTCAATATTCATTTGGACAATCAAATAAAATTTGGCAACTACGTTTTTTTTTCTAATTTCTATTTAGAATTGAGGATCGAACAACCGCTGTATAAAACCTATAATTTCGTTTAATTCGTACGCTATGTCATCCAAACGGTAGTAGATTACTGCTTTATCTTGAATCAGTCGCTCCTCTGTTATTCTTAAATCAAGCCATGGCGATGTTAATATTGATTCTATTGTAGTCCATGGTCCTCTCTATTCGTCCATACCAACAGCTTCTCTAAAGCTCAACGAGTTGTGGATAAATAAATTTTCTTTCCAATGTCAACATATTTTACTTGCGTTTAGTTGAAATATTATTATTACTATTATCTTTTTAAGAAAAAAGATCTATTAGAGTTTATATATCTTGATACTCAATAAAACAGCTTATTGAAAAGTTAAATTTGAAATGGATCACGGGCTGATCTGCTCGAAACTACCCGAAACCGTCTCTTTATTCCTTACCGTTTGTCCTTGTCTTTTCTTTGCATCTGTAAAACTCGTTCAATATTTGCCGATGATGGCAGAAATAGTATCTTTGTTTTTTTAGAATCGTATACTCTGAGAATCACACACACAAAGTAGCAAGTGCTCATTCTTCTGACTGGCTCAGCATTTCGCTTTTTAATGATGATTATACCACTTTAACGTAGGAAGAGATGAGTATGAAAGTAAACATGTTTACGCTACTAGTGTTGTTATGTCTAGTATTTCTTAAAATATATTATTTTTTTTTCTAATTTTAATTGTATTGTTAACCTCATTTACTCTTTGTATTAATAGTCATTTACTTCGTTATTTATTTTAGATTAATTTAAACAATATGGCATTCACATTCGTAGCTTTTGCTTATATCTTAGCTTTAATTTTGACAGCCCTATTGATATTTTTCGCAATTTGGCATGTAAGTTTCTACAATAATCTCTCTTAATGTTGCCTCATCTATCCATTCATGATGATGTGAATCATAATATAAATCAAACTGTATACTAATCAAAAGTAGTGAAACTTGAACTATTTGTCACCTTCTAGTTTTTGTCCAACCTAATTTGAACGGTATATACTTCTTTTTCTAGATCATCGCTTTTGATGAATTAAAAAATGATCATAAAAATCCGATCGATCAATGTAATTCATTAAATCCAGTAAGTAGATAAGAAGAAATTGATATGTTCAAAACTGACAATTTAAAATATTTTTAGTTAGTTCTACCAGAATATATCATACATGGATTTATTAATCTTCTATTTTTATTTGGCTTTGAATGGATATCAATTATAATCAATGTTCCATTATTAGCATATCACATAAATCGGTTAGTAGCCTACTGTTACACTGGGTACCGAAATTATTCAAACATCTTTTTTTTATTTTTTTTTATCAACCATAATAGCTAAAACAATTTCAAATAGTGATTTGTGTAGCTGAAAGAAAATTCAATCAGATGAGGTGTATGTGAAAAAGTCCAGCAAGCATTTTTTTACTGTTTTTCTGTTGATTTTGCTGGTTTCAATAGTTTGATACTTTTCATAGATTCTACGCAGTTTGATAAAACAGCGTCATAGAGAGGTCGACGGTGTCTCATTTTGAACAAACCTATTTGCTCTATCTGACTGCACTATTCTCAAAAGCATCCGACTAGGCTTATAGGATGTAAACATAGAAGATTCCAGTTTTCTAGAGATTCTTTTTTCAAAAAATTCTGATGGAATTTTCATATACATCTTATCTGATTTGATTTTCTTTCGACTACACAAATCACTATTTGGAATTATTTAAGCTATTAGGATGGACGAAAAGAAATCAAAAATAAAGATATTTGACTATTTTGGTATCCATTGTATAATTGTACCACTTTTGAAAATGATATTCTCTTTAGTTTTCGTACTCGACCAGTACGAGATGGACTTGGACTATATGATCCAACAACAATAATGAATCAACATGAACTTTCAACAGCAACAAGAGAAGGATGGATTAAACTTGGCTTTTATATGATTACATTTTTCTATTATTTATATTGGTATTGTATTTGTTTTATTTTCCACTAATGTTATCTTGACGACACTTTATTTTTATTTGTTTAGTATGATCGCAGAATTAATCCAGTAATGAAATTTCAAAACAGATTGTTGATTCCTCAATAGACGTATTGTTGTTATTCGAACATATAATCCTACAAATAATTCCTTGAGGAGAAAAAGTGTGTGTGTGTGTGTGTGCCATGATTTTTATACGTTTTATTTTTATTTAAAAAGTCTAATTACGTCTAATTATCGGACTATAATCTGGCTCTTTTGATATTTTTTTCCATTTTATTTCTTATACTTTTGTGTATTTTTTGTATGATAGTAAACATATAGGAAAGACATATTAATTTCTTGTTTTATTTCAAAGCATGAAAGTGATAATTATGAAAGAACGTTAATGATGCACACGCATGTCTCACTTATTCCTACATGAAAATTGACAAAATGATTTACACGAGATTGCGCATGAACAAAAAAAAATGATGAGCTATTCTAATCAAAAAACGTCTTTTATTGCACTTTTTTTAGACCAGATATGAGTGCAGCATATTTTTTGAGATTATCTTCCCAACCGATCATCTTCGAACCAATTTCGTCTGCTACGAGTGTATTTTATGATAAAGACAATCAACAACTTTTTGCTGTTCGTGGTTCTGGTGCTATGGGTAAGAGAAATTCTATCATCATTAATATTTTTTTAGATAGTAGCGAGTAAATAATAAATAGTTGTATTTAAACGACGATAAAATTTCGTTTTTGCTAAGAAATTATCCAAATATTTTCTAATATTATGATGAATACGTCTACGATCGACAGTAGATTTGATTGTAATTTATGGACAAAAAATATACAATTTATTCAAAAATATTTATTAATTCATCAAGAATATGATCCTGTATAGAGAGAAAATCTAGCATTCCATATACAGACTTATTAGATTTCAAGTGAAAATGATCAAATTTGTCATCAAAAATGTATTTTCAGTATTACATTTCATCTCATTGTGTATTCAAAGCACTAGTTAACCATATTCTTTTGTAGAATTGAACAGACGATTGTTTAAAATAAATTTTAGTTATCTAAAAATAGTGTTGAACATATTTCAACAAGAATGACAAATAAAAGTATTTTATATTTATTACTATATAATCTGTACAGAGTATGACATATTTCCAAATGCTATTGATCAATACATATTTGTTTCATTTAAAGAAAAATTAACTGTAAACAACCAAATATATTCATGTCATAGAATACAAATCATTATCAAGACTCTACGAGTGACATGGACAAATCACTTGATACAAAACACAATATAATTATAAAATCAAAATGAATTTTGTGTAAGCGTAAAATCATCAAGAATTTTTTATTTAGTTTTCTAAATAAATTAAAACGAAACTCTGAATTGAAATTGTTTGTAAAATATTTTTAACTGATAATCTAAATGGTGAATAGATAATTTTTATTTTTGTTTATTTTTTTAGGTGTTACCATGAAAGATCGAAATCAGTCGTATACATTTCGTCTTGAAGATAAAGGTGCAATACAATCAATTAAATTTAATCCTGATCTATCAGTTCTTGCCATTAAACGTAGTTCAAATTCTGTAGAATTTCTTAATTTTCAACCACCTCCAGCATCATCACCAACAACTATTTTAAAATTACCAAATGTTATTAGTTTACAATCAGATTCTATTGAATATTCACAAATATCAAAATCTAAAAATTCAAAATTATACGATTTTAATTGGTTAAATGAAAAAGAAATATTATTTGTTACAGATCAATCTGTTGAATATTATCAATTATTAGCTGAAAAACGAATATTAAGACAAATGAAAACATTTCAATTTCCAAATACAAATTGGCAATTATTTTCACGAGATATTGGATTATTATTAATATCACACGGTTTACAATCGGGAAATTCATTTACACCATTGAGTTATGCACGTAATCAACTATTTAAATTACCAAAATTTGAAGTTGATCTTCCACAAAGTATACAACAACAACAGCAACAACGATCAAATTCAATAACATCACAACAAACTAATTTAAGACGTATTGAATTAACTGAACGTGATTGTGCTCTAGCTGTATTATATGATAAAGTTTATTTATTAGTAATTCGACAAGTTACCAGAGTACCTGGTAACTTTTATCTTTTTTTTTAAAATTTAAATTCTTTTAAAATTTTATTTTAGGTCAAGGTTCACTTGAAGTTGTTCTTTATCAAATTGAAGAAGATCGACCAGCACAAAAACGTCATATATTACGTTTAAATTTACATGGTCGTTGTGCATTAAATGTTATTGATAATTTAATATTTTTACATCATCAAACAACAAAACAAACATATGTCTATGATATTGAAGAAAAATCAACATCTGAAAATGATGGATTTCAAACAATTCATTTACCCATATTAAATCAATTATCAATACAACCTCAAATAATTGATCGACAATTACTTTCACCATCAGTATTATCTCAACAAACTTCATCACCTTTATCATCACAACAAAATATTGAACTTTATTCATCAAATTGGATTGTATTTTTACCTAATGTTATTATCGATGTTAAACTCGGTTGTTTATGGTATTTAACAATTAATTTAGATGCTTTACTCGATATTGTTAAAGAACGTATATTATTATTAGAAATTCTATTACGTCGAACAAATGGTAAATCTTCAATATTAATGTTATTATATACATTATTAACAAGTGTAATAGCACCTGTACAAATAGATTCTACACTATGGACTGGTGAACAAACAGCAGCTGGAATATTTGATTTATGGTTAGATATGATTCATCGTATTAATAATGTTTATATTGAAATTACTACATCAACACCATCATTAACAAATCGTCCATTACTTGAACAAACTGATGTATTTACTGTTTTATGTTTATTTGAAACAATTGTTCCCACATCTACAAGTACAACACATTCATTAACTATTAATCGTTCATCATCAATTAATTCAACTGATGATGATTCACTTACATCAACAACAACAACAACAACAACAACAACAACACAATGTTTAAATAAAAAACTTAAATTTGCCATAGCTATTGTTCTTGAATATATTCGTTCATTAAATAATTTCAATATACCTATACAACATTTTCTATATGATTTATTAGTCAATTTATTAATTAAAAATAAACATTTTTATCAACTTCAACAACTTATTCAATATCATGTATTATCTGATAGTAAATCTATAGGTAGGAGAAAGAAAACAAAAATAAATAATGATTTTTTTTTATCTGATCATTTTTAAATTGTTTATTAATTTATGTTTTTTAGCATGTTTACTATTATCATTATCAAGTAAACATCAACCAACAACTCAAATAGCATTAGATATGTTAAAACGTTTAAATACGGCTAATGAAGAAATATTAGAAATTTTATTAGAATTAAATTTAATTATACCAGCATTACATTTTAGTGTTGAACATTTACCAATTAATTTTCAATTAGCTCGTAAATTAATGGATGCAGCAATTAAAGCTGATGAATTATTATCAAATAATGCATCAAATCAAAATATATTATTTTATACGGTTTATACATATTTTGATGATTATTTTCAACAACAAAAACAAGGACCATCATCAACTATTACATCACCTCAATCAACACCAACAATTGGAAATTCTCGAAATAATGAACTTGATTTTTTTACAACATTTTTTAATCAACAGTTTCAACCAAAAGAATCAGATTTTAGTAATATTCAATGAATATGTATGTATGTTGTTACTACTCTTAATAACTCGTTTTGTTTTTTGTATTATGATTTCTTTTTTGTAATTTATTAAGTAAAGATGAATGTTACAATGATGAAACATTGTTTTGTTAAGTAATTAAATTATTTGTCATTTTTCTTTTGTTCACTAGATGAATTTTTTTAGTTTTGCTATTTATCGTCAACCGATGTTTGGTGCTTTTCCACTTGATGCGATCAACAAAACCAGATAGATTTTGTGCTTCTCATGGAGAGTGGAGAATATACTGAGCACTGAGACGAATATTTAGCACAAAATCGAAAGCGTACCTTTTCTGACTTGAAATAGGAGAAAATACACTTTGAGAAACGAGTTAACTATTGTCGTAAGACGCTTTCTTTCAACTATTATGGAGCATGGAAAAATATTTACGAGGGAACTGTCCTACGTGATCCACCTTGTTTTCAACCATATTTTGCTGATGTGTAGAGCCTATTGCTCTGAGAAAAAGCCTAGGAAGATTTGAGTCCATGTTTCTTCCTTCAAGCCTTATTGAATTTTTTCGTTTCGACGAGAAGGGCGATCCTTAACATGAGATTGTTTATAACTCAGTCAAAGCAGCGAGTGAAGGGCTCAAATTTATTTCACATCATAGCCTAGTCAGCTACTCATAATCATAATCTCTCCAAAGATTTAGACCTTTAGCTGTTATACTGGATGAATAACCGAATTTTTACGTTTTTGATTCGTCTTTTCTCATTTTTATTTTTTGATCTAATGTTTAGTTTACGCAGTCAAAAATATTAGTGAGCAACATAATATAATTAAACTAAATTCCCTTACACATAACCAGCTTTCTTCGAAAATACTTCAGCCTATGATTCAGTATGCCTGGTTTGCGTTCGGATATCTTAAAACAAATCTCGGACCATTCCAAAAATGTAAAAGAAATATGTTTCTTGTTTACGAATGATTACTGTAAAGTAAATGACTGCGATGAGTCTGCATTTATATAATCAGACAATTGTTCAACGTATCAGAGTCTAATATAGATCTATATCATTGCACAGTATTTTTGACTGCGTAAACTAACTAAACATTAGATCAAAAAATAAAAATGAGAAAAGACGAATCAAAAACGTAAAAATTCGGTTATTCATCCAGTATAACAGCTAAAGGTCTGAATCTTTGGAGATTATGAGTAGTTGACTAGACTATGATGTGAAATAAATTTGAACCCTTCACTCGCTGCTTTGACTGAGTTATAAACAATCTCATGTTAAGGACCGCCCTTCTCGTCGAAACGAAAAAATTCAATAATTCTTGAAGGAAGGGCGATAGGTTTAAAGTTATTTTCAAAGCTAAGTTTCTGTAGATGTATGATCAGTTGTAATGAGTTTGCTAAATTTGCTTAAGCTTCGGTTTCCAAAACTTCTATTTTTCAAGGCAATCAATGGTTTTCGACTGAGGAACGTGTCTAATTAAAAAAATACTAAGGTGATATTTTGAATTAGCTCACAAAACTGCATCGAATGATGTAGTTCCCAAACATTTTCTAAGAGATTTTATCTCGATCAAAAATGTTTACCTATAAGGGAGAGGGAGATTTTTTTATCAAAAACAGAATAAGATTTTTTTCTCATGAGAATAGTATTTTACAAGTATAGAGAGTCAGTCTACGTCAAAAATGCTCATTTCCCATGATAAAAAACTTGATGTCCGTCTGTCTGGAGAAAAATGGTCACTATTAAGAGGGGAGCAAAGGTAGTAAGAGCGACCGAAAAGAGAACTGTTCAAAAGGGTTAAAATCTACGAGATAAAACTTAATTTAACAGAATGTTATAATTGCAAGAAAATCTCATGTTTAACAACAGCAGGTATAGTTGAAGCAAACGAATGAGTTCGGAGACAGTGAAAAATGCGGCAGAATATATGTGCATAGTTGTATAACAAGTCGCTCAACGTTCAATCAATCCTAATTATTCTATGTTGACTAAGACTTTTATTCTTAGATTATTATGGCAAATATAAATTTTAAACTTCGAGCACTCTTACTTGATATTGAAAATCAACTAAGTGATAGTAATATAACAGATTTATGTTTTTTACTTGGCGATGATGTACCTCGACGTGTATTAGATGCCTGTAAAAAAGATCAATCAATGCGTGAGGTATGGGAAACATTGTTTAGTTGTCGAAAAATTACACCAGACAATGTAACATATTTAATTGAACGTTTTGAACAAATAAATCGTATGGATCTGGCTGCACGTCTAAAACAATTTTGTCATATCCCATTTTCGTCAACAGTGTCAACAGTGCCAACTAGAACACCGTCATCTCCAGCACGAGCAACAACAACAAATGAGCTCTTTTACCAACGGAATCCGCCAAATTCGTCGTAGTTTATTTATTTATTTATTTTGTTAGCAAGCATTACTTTACTACATCTTTTTTTGATTTATGTAAAGTCATTTGTTGAAATCGCATTTGTCTGTTTATTTTGGTATTTAACATCTAAGAAATGACGATATTTTTGTAGATTTTAGTGCCGTTGAGTCAATTATTGAATTAAACCCATTTTACGATAATGTAAACAGTCTAAAATAATACCATTAAGTTTTCTACTTAAAAGTTATGATTAATCATCTGTTTTTAATTAATGAATACATTTCATTTTCTCTTCATTGTTCTAGAACGATCATGAAGAATGATCCTAAAACATTTTTCGCTTTTTTTGTTTATACACTTATTTATTAAATGTTACAATACGCATTTGTATTTTCTGTATGGACACATCAAGATGTTAAAGATATAGAGATAGGGAAAACTAAACTGAGTTTTGTTTTTGATGTTCAGTCAAGAGAGCCAACGTAAATGCCATTCCAAAGAGCAGATATTTTTGAACACTACTATATATAAGAAGAACTAGTACAGAAGATTGATCAAATTTTAGAAAAAAATTCTTTTCTATCCTCTTAAAGTGTTGTGTTTCTGGCTCATCAAAAACGATATCATTAACAATTTGGAAATCTAACCCTTTTATTGTACCGGTCATAATTGTAGGCTTCTAAACGCAAAGAATTAATCATCTGATAGTAGTGTGATTTTACTATAAAGACTCATTGATTGGAGTTAATATACTAGTAGAACAAAAGTTTCTTTATCATCCATTAACTGGAAATTCATGCCTTGTTATGCTCTGAAAAAAGTGTTGGCTACATTTCAAGACCAACCCGAGATTTTTAGCACATAAAACAGTGGAGAAATCTTGATATTACGCAATACTACGAAGGCAAAAATCGATTTAGATGAAAGACAGAAGAAAAGAAAAGCAGATTTTCTGGTGCTCTTAGAAAAATACATATCACTTTTGATTGGAATATCGCACAGAGCTCAGCAACGGCTCATTTTGAAGAAAAAAATTTTCTCTATCTGAATAAGTATTTTAAAAAGTTTTGGTTGGTCAACACACGTATAGACGATTTTTGCAAAGTGAATAATGATGAGTTACGCTTACGATCTACAGTTGCCAATGTTAAAAAGTGCATAACTCCAGAAGAAAAGGTCACAGAGAGCTGAGTGACGTCTCATTCTACAGAGGGCCCTTAACTGTATATTGCTATGACATATTCAACTAACTCGAAAATCGAAAATTTTGATAGGGCCAGGAGTACTCTGAAACAAATTCAGTTTTCACTTCTGATTCCAGTTAATGGATGATAAAGAAACTTTTG